CCCCCCCCTGCGCCCCACCGCTCGCAGCGAAGCGGAGACGCCCCGTGGCGGCGTTAGAGATGCGCTCCGGACCGGGACTCCGGGAGCCCGGACACCCGACACCCTCGTGCGCGCTCTGCGCCCTCGTGGCGCACCACCTGGCAAGGAGTGGCCCCGCGCGCGCATTCCCCCCCACCCTCCCCGGGGCCCGCCCGGGGCCCATCCGTCAGCCTTGGGACTCCACGGGGCCGCCCCAGTCTCTTCCTGCGCCTTGTACTGCAGGACAAGACTCAGGAACAGAATCGAGGGCTTGACGACCCCTGGGGTCCGGGGCAGGGGGTCTGAGGCCACCAAGGCCGGTAGATGCCAGGTGCGTTCCCGAGGCCAACTCCAAAGATGAAGCTTCCCTCGGTCCCCAACTCTTCCCTGTCCAATATTGGGCTCTGTTTACTTCTGTAACCCTCTCTCCAAGACTTTTCATTTGCCTCCTCCAGCCATCAACTTCCTGCCCTGCATCCGATGAACCTCCCTGCGGAGTGGCAGTCCCAACCCCCACCTGAAGGGGTCTCTCCCGGCTCGGTCTCCTTTCCCAGGAAGCGGTCAGCCCGGGCAGGTTGGTTGCAGAAAACCCATTGCCAACACCACTCCTCTCCAGCCAGGTCCTGGACATCTCCGTTTCCTGGAGTCACTTCCAGGGGACTCCCTGGGGACACAGACTCCTCCCCGAGTCCTTGCTGGCGCATCCCCCTCGGGCTTGTGTCTGTAGAGACATCTTTGCAATCTGCTCCCCAACTTCTGATTTGCTTTCCCAGAATGGACACCTGGTTCTTTGATCTTCTCATTCACTCTGTCCAGGCCTTGTGTGACCAGAGACATGGACAAGGACGGAGTACCCAGCACAGCTCTTGCTGTGATGATTTTTTTTTTTTAACTCAGGGCCTGGGTGCTGTCCCTTAGCTTTGTCACTTCAGGTTCTACCACTTGAGCCCACTGCTCCACTGCTGGCTTTTTGCTGGTTAATTGAAAGTCTCATGGACTTTCCTGCCTGGGCTCCAACCATGATCCTCAGGTCTCAGCCTCCTGAGTAGTTAAAATTACAACGTCAGCTACCAGCCTCTGGCTCTTGCCATGATAACTAGCCTCAGTTCTGTCACATCTGGTGTTCATATGAGGGCAAGGCAACTTGACAACCATCCTCACCTGGGAGTGGCTTTTTCCCCCCAATCATATGAGGATGCCTGAGGCTGGAGCTGGCCCTCATTGTGAACATAGCTGGCCTAGTGGACATACAATGTCAACATTTTTCTTACAGTGAGATTGATATAAACATTCACATTTCTGAGTTTTCTTGAGAAATCGGAAGGTGTCGCCCTGGGTCTACATCCCTGCTTGGCCACCATGAAATGGAAGTTTGGTGAAGAGCCTGGACTTTCCAGACTTGCTTCTTGGGACCTCTGATGATCCCGCTGAAAACGCAGTGTATCAGAAGAGAGATGGTCCCCAAAGCTGGGCATCTGGAGGACTTCTCATAAGCAGGGGCTGATCTTGAAGGCTGAGGAAGTCAGGCAGCCCAGGGCTAGGGTTCCAGCCCAGGGCTAGGTGCCACTCAGAACCTATTTGTACATCCTCCTGTCATGGTCCTGCTATTTTAGTCTCCTTAGAAGACGAATGTAACCCAACCAGCTGCTACTTTTAAGGGTCTCATGAGCCACCGCAGTCACTTTCTTGCCACAGATATCAACATAGTTCCCTACCACCATTAGCGTTGTTTGTTTATGTAGCACTCGGTAGTTTATTTAAATGTTTATTAGAGGCAGGGTGTGGTGGCACACTGGTCATACAGGCTACTTAGGAGGCAGAGATCAGGAGACTCTCAGTTGGAGGTCAGCCCCAGCAACAAGTTAACAAGACCCCCATCCCAATGAATGTTTGGTCCCAGCAACTCAGGAGGCATAGGTCAGAGGATCAATGTCGAAGGCTGTCTTCAAGAAAAATAATGTGAGCCCCTATTTGAACAATAACTGCAGTAAAAAGAGCTGAGAGCGTGGCTTCAGTGGTAGAGTGCTTGCTTAACAGGTGCAAAGCCTTGAGTTCAAATCTCAATACCTTCAGCCCCTAAAACTAAAGGATGCTTTCAACCACTACCATCCTTGGAAAAGCCAACCTTTTACCATCCCACCACAAATCAAGGATAACTGCCCCACAAATCAACCAAACAAAAAGAGAAAAATATTAGAGTTCAGCTATTCCTCTGCTTACCCAGGACACTGAGGGGTCGAGAAAGGGTTGAGACAGAAACCTTCTTTGATCTCATCAGAAAGATGGAAGGATTGAGGACTAACTCCCCTCACAAGGGAATCCTTGCTCCTGACAGGGCTATGGAAATGGAGTGTCCAGCGAGAGTTAAGATACTTACACTAAGCTGGATGCTGGTGACTCATGCCTGTAATCCAGCTATTTCAGGAGGCTGAGATCTGAGGATTGTGGCTCAAAGCCAGCCCAGACAGGAAAGTCCATGAGACTCTTATTTCCAATTAACCACCAGAGAACCAGAAATGGCACTGTGGTTCAAAGTGGTAGAGTGCTAGCCTTGAGCAAAAGCACTCAGGAACAGCACCCAGGCCCTGAGTTCAAGCCCACAACTGATATACATACATACATACATACACTTACACTAGTATAATATTTTTGAAAAGACTTGTTTCTTGAACAATCCAGACACCTATCACCTCTAACCACCAAAGACTCCATTCAGACCTGACTCAGAACAATACCCTTCTCTACCAGGAATCAGGGGAAGCAAACACCCCCACACCCACAACCACTCAACCTTCTGCCCTCACACTGACACCAAGATGCAGCGGTAGATAGATATAGCATCAAAATGATGACTTGGGTAAGGTGCCTGAAGCCTGGAATCCTAGGTACTTGGTTGGCAGAGATCAGGGGATAAAAGTTTATGATTCTCCATCTCAACCAATGGCTGGGCTCAGTGGTGCACCTGTCATCCCCACGGCCATGGGGAAGTACAAATAGGAGGATCACAACCTGGACAATAAGCAAGACCCTACCTCCAAAATAACCAACACAAAAAGGGGCTCGGGGGTGTGGCTCAAGCAGTAGAGCACCTGCCCAGCAAGTGCAGCAGCCTGAATTCAAATGCCAATGAGGAAACAGATACCACACACGGCTATGTTAATCTCTCCCATTTGGCTCCTCAAGATAAAACTGGAGACAACATAAGTTCCAAGTGGTTCTTGCCTCAAGTCTACTTTTCAGTCTAGATCCCAGAGATCACATCTGAAAAGCCATTAGGGCCAATTCATCCAGTGCCTGCTGTGGGTGTTGTCATTTGATTTTCAAAGTCTTCAGGTCTGCCTTCAGCTCTGGGGGAGCTAGGTACCAATTCTCTCTCCCACTAGCCACTCCCTGTTGTCCGGCAGCTGCTTATTACTGTGGCTACCAGCCCTGCCCCTGAGGGCACTGAAGATCCTGCCTGAACCTCACTCTGCCCAGTGTTTTGAAGGAGAGACCAGGACAAACCAAAATCATCTTGGAGTCTCCAAACCTACTCCCTGAATTCTTCCAATGACAGGAGGCACCGAAGGAAATGGAGACTGTACTTAGGGGTTTTTCAGGGTGTCAGAGATCATCACACAGCCTTTGGAGAGGGTACTTAAGAGAGGAGAGTACCCCTCACACCATTCTCCATGGGTCTGCCACTGGTTACCAGATCACCAGATCCCATACGCAACATAGACTTTAAACAAGAGCCCTTAGAGAACCATTGCTTTCTCTGGAGTCCACACAGACACCAACCACTTCTGAGGCAGTGTTCAGCTCCATTTCAAGGTCAGCTGTCTTGGCAAGAACTTCCAAGCAGATGGGGACAGTGAATGGGCTTGCACCAACCGCCCTCCCAACAAACCAGCTCCCGGGGGGGGGGGCTACAGGAAGGATCCAGATGCTTCCACTCCATTGGGACCCACATGCAGAGCAAACCCCATGTGAGGAATTGATGACCTTGTCATTGAGCCTGTAACCAGGCCTCTAGCCAGCCCCACTGCTGGAAATTAGCAAGTGCAATGGTCCCATCAGACGGGTTTGGCAGAGTGCTGGCCAGGAGTGGCCTTGGTAAGCAATAGATCAGGGGAACGCTGATAGAACAGAAAGTAGCAGCCAGCGGCCTTCGGGGAGTATCACTCTTGCTGTTTCTTGAGCTATCTACACACACACACACACACACACACACACACACACACACCCCTGACAGGGAGATGCATCAGACAAAAGAGGGAACGTGGGTGGTGTTTAGGCAGCATTTTCTCCACTGCTGCATTCCACACAGAGTGGTATCCCTTCACCACTGGGATCAGTTCTGCCTGGAAGTGAAAGGATTTGAAACATGGAGATTTGGGGATCCAGGTTCAGTCAACACTTTTAATGGAGATACAAGGTGTAAGCCCACACTCAATCTAGGCCATCATGACCCAGGGTAGGATATAGCCCGATATCTACTTGTGACTGTGCACTGCTCAACCTAGAAGAGAAAGCAGAGTAGGGGACGTCCGAATACAGCAGAAAGTGATGCCTGGATCCACTTGGGCCAGAGTCTAAATCCCAGAATGGACCCATCTCAAAAGGCCTCTCTGCTGCTTAAGGTAATATACTCTCTCACCTTCCAGGAAGTCTATAGGGATGACATCGACACCGTGACACCTGCGGAGTCATCTTTGTCCTGATCAGGTAGAAAAATGGCCCAAACCCAGCTGTCTTGCTGACCTCTAGAAGTACCAGATGAATCTACTCTGGTCACACAGCCAGGGCCAGCCAGGGCCAGCCATGACCTCATGGCTAGGCCAGATGTTGAGTGGTAGGGGGCAGGATTCCCGGAATTAGCTTGGATTAACCATTTGGGGTTTGGTGGACACTGGGCACCCTCTCAGTCTCCCCTATATCTTGTCTACTGTTCTTTCCAAATGAGAATATTTCACAGTCCCAGACACACCCCGAAGGAGCCCCAAAGTGATGCTGAGCTGAGCTATATTTGATTCCTACACTGAGTTATCCACAGAGCCTGCACAGACCCTTCATTTGTGTATCAATCCTGAAAGAAGTTTGTGAAGGTCCAGTTGATCGCTGTGTGGGATTTTGCATTCAGAGCCTGTCTAAGTCTGTCTGGACATTGCCTTTGCATCTCACAATCTGAGGAACCCAGTCTATGGCTCTGGCCCAAGCCTTGATAGACACTCCTTTCCCGCCTCTCTGGCCTCCAGGCTCCATTCCTTCTGTATTAATTGCTTCCCCTAGAGGAGTGGCCAGAGGCTTGGGACAGTGTGCAAAGGCTGCCCCTTCCTAGTTCACAGATTCAGAGAAGCTTTGCCTTAAAGGAGCCAAAGCTTCCAATTGGGTCTGCAGATGATGAACCCTGGGACTGGTTTCCTGAAGGAATACTGGATGCAAAGACAGCGGTTCCTATTTATCTCAAAATGCTCTAGGTTGGGCTGGGAATGTGGCTTAGTGGTAGAGTGCTTGCCTAGCATGCATGAAGCCCTGGGTTCAATTCTTCAATACCACATACACAGAAAAAGCTGGAAGTGGCACTGTAGCTCAAAGTGGTAGAGCGCTAGCCTTACGCAAAAGCAGCTCAGGGATAGTGCCCAGGACCTGAGTTCAAGCCCCAGAACTGGCAAAAAAAAAATGCTCTGGAAGCTAGGATACTGGTTGGGGGCTGCCCAGTGCC